AAAGGAGATTTTTGAGGGACCACATTCCTAGAGCAACCTCCCTTTGCTTGGCTGATACTTGAAAGCAACATCTGTGAGGCCATGTGGCCTGTCCTGTTAACTGAAGAAGAGGTGTCACTATGGCACAGGGGATGGGGAAGAATTAGAAAGTAGCTCCAAAATGCCTGCAAGGCTATGACTAGTTCAGGAGATCAGGAGGAAGTTAATATCAGGCAGGTGCCTCCTCAGGTCACTGAAGGGTAAGATCATATTTTTGAAGAAACTTTAAATTTACAGAAATATAAACTAACTCTGGGGTGGGGCGCTTTCTGTTTCAGTTATCGATAGCAGTGCTTGTTGGCCTGTACCTCTTCGAACGCTTTCCTGGCTTCATGGTTACCACTGGCCTCTTCACCGTCCTGGTCTATTTCAGATTGCAATGGTTGTTCCCGTTCATCAGGCTGATGTTGTCAAACTTTGTCCCAGCATGGGGTAGGTATAGCTGTGACTGGGGGCTGCATGATGGTCTGTTCATTCTCAGTTTACTGTTGGGGCGACTGGGAAGGAAACAGCAATTCATTAGGGAACTCAGAGACCTGCTCTTAGCTGACCCTCTGCTACCTCCATTGCCCTATCGCTGTATCTCTGGGGCCTGGACCAACTGGTATTGCACAACTGACTTTCCACTTCAGCACTGCTGCACCATTACCCGGGTGCTGTAATAATCTAGTTCTTTGAAATTTGCCCGGCAGTTTTCATCTAGAGAATTGCAAAATACTTGCAGAGGCAGATAAGCATTATTGTCTTCAAGGGAAGTCAGTTGCAGAGCTGGGACCAGACACAGATGTCCCGGCTTCCAGACCTGCTGTCTTCCCTCAAGTCTGACTTTCCTCACCTAACCAACTCGTTCAGTGTCACACAGCTGTGGCAGAGGTGAAGATAACGTCTCTCACAAGAACATTCGCCAATTGCTTTATTTGTAATGAAAGAGGTGCCGGGGCTCAAGTAATTTATTTTTTACATTCAGAACTGATGTAGCAAGCCCAGAGGTGCCGGGGCTCAACCCGGGCACAAATTAAGCACAGTCACTTACTCCTCCTCCAAAAAATAAATAAAAACAAACAAACATTAGAACACTGGGAAATGCAAAGACAAGGTGACAATCCTCTTTACTCCTCTACTCCTGGTAGCTCCCCAAGGCCCCAGAAAGAGACCTGACCCATGTCTTCACACCCCACCATAGTCCATCAGGCGGTGGTGCTTCCCAGGGACCTACTTATGCTATGAAGGGGGCCTGGAGCCCAGCTGGTTCACTGAGCCCCACCAGGTGGAGGAGGGCAGCAGATTTCTCTGTTAAGGGGGCAACAGTGGCCGTGTTTAACAGCCCTGCAAAGATGACAAAGGAGGTGAGCCAGCCGATCCCCCTAGGAAATAACACGAGGGGAAGGCAGAATATCCACTGGTCTCCTCCTAAAGACTCCAAGAGTGAGTCCTCCTGGGGGGATTCATAGATCCCGAGGCCAGAAGGGACCATTTTACTCATCTAGTCTGACTGTACAACACAGGCCATTCTTAGAGCCCATCTTTTAGAAAAATGTCTAGTCCTGATTTAAAAATTGCCACTGATGAGAAATCCACCACGACCCTTGGTAAATTGTTCCAATGGTTAATTACCCTCTGTTAAAAATCTACGCCTTATTCTCAATCTGAATGTGACTAGCTTTAACTTCCAGCCCTTGGATAGACAGGGTGAGCACTGGGGCAGGGTGGTTCAGTGGCCAGTGGAAGTGGACATGCCAAGGAGAGATGCTGGGGAGTGGGAGTTCTTGGAGAAGTCAGCGTTAGGAAGGGGTGGGGAGATGGGGAGCTGGCAGTGTGAAACTGAGCTGTGGGGGTGGAATTTGAGTGTGGTGAAGTGGTGGGGAGGAAGTGGAGAGTACAGGAAAGAGGAGGTCTGAGCTTGCCCAGGAGAGGGTGGAGTGGGAGGACTTGAACTGTGTTGGTGAGCTAGGGTAATAGAGGGGGTCAGAAATGCACAAGGAGAGGAGTTTGGTGCCCCCAGAGACCTGCTAGGCCAAGGGTCCAGGGAACTAGGGGGAACCAGTGGACATAGTGTACTTAGATTTCCAGAAAGCCTTTGACAAGGTCCCTCACCAAAGGCTCTTACGTAAATTAAGTTGTCATGAGATAAGAGGGAAGATCCTTTCATGGATGGAAAACTGGTTAAAAGACAGGGAACAAAGGGTAGGAATAAATGGTACAATTTTTAGAATGGAGAGGGGTAACTAGTGGTGTTCCCCAGGGGTCAGTCCTAGGACCAATCCTATTCAACTTATTCATAAATGATTTGGAGAAAGGGGTAAAAAGTGAGGTGGCAAAGTTTGCAGATGATACTAAACTGCTCAAGATAGTTAAGACCAAAACAGACTGTGAAGAACTTCAAAAAGATCTCACAAAACTAAGTGATTGGGCAACAAAATGGCAAATGAAATTTAATGTGGATGAATGTAAAGTAATGCACATTGGGAAAAATAACCCCAACTATACATACAATATGATGGGGGCTAATTCAGCTACAACTAATCAGGAAAGAGATTTTGGAGTCATCATGGATAGTTCTCTGAAGACGTCCACGCAGTGTGCAGCGGTGGTCAAAAAAGCAAACTGGATGTTAGGAATCATTAAAAAAGGGATAGAGAATAAGACGGAGAATATCTTATTGCTCTTATATAAATCCTTGGTATGCACACATCTTGAATACAGCATATAGATGTGGTCTCCTCATCTCAAAAAAGATATATTGGCATTAGAAAAGGTTCAGAGAAGGGCAACTAAAATGATTAGGGGTTTGGAACGGGTCCTATATGAGAAGAAATTAAAGAGGCTAGGACTTTTCAGCTTGGAAAAGAGGAGACTAAGGGGGGATATGATAGAGGTATATAAAATCATGAGTGGTGTGGAGAAAGTGAATAAGGAAAAGTTATTTACTTGTTCCCATAATATAAGAACTAGGAGCCACCAAATGAAATTAATGGGCAGCAGATTTAAAACAAATAAAAGGAAGTTCTTCACACAGCGCACAGTCAACCTGTGGAACTCCTTGCCTGAGGAGGTTGTGAAGGCTAGGACTATAACAGGGTTTAAAAGAGAACTAGATAAATTCATGGAGGTTAAGTCCATTAATGGCTATTAGCCAGGATGGGTAAGGAATGGTGTCCCTAGCCTCTGTTTGTCAGAGGGTGGAGATGGATGGCAGGAGAGAGATCAGTCGATCATTACCTCTCCTGTTAGGTTCACTCTCTCTGGGGCACCTGGCATTGGCCCCTGTCGGTAGACAGGATACTGGGCTGGATGGACCTTCGGTCTGACCCAGTATGGCCATTCTTATGTTCTGATGTTCTTAACTATAAAAATTCTACATGGGCTGGAACTGGTGGACAAGGCTCCTTGCTGCCCTGCTGTCTGCCCCACTCTCTGCCTTGTCCTGCCCCCTGGCCTTCGGCGATCTCACAGGGTGAGCACTGGGGACTACTTGTAGGACTCTCACGTTTCCCTTTGGTGTCGTTCCCCCTCCCCCGCAAGGCACAGCTGAGTGCAGAGTGAGACACCAAAAGGAGATTCTGCAGAGCCTTTAAAGAGATGGGATGGGGAGGAGGAAAGAACAGTAGCTTGTCCTTCCCACACTGATGGGGCGATACTCACCTCTCGTGAGTGCCTCCTGTTGGCTAGGTGTGTTGTTGCAATCTCTTTTTCTCCCGGCATTCCTTGTAGGTTGTTGTCCTTATTAGGTGGGTCTTCTTTAGCTCAGCCCTCCTGCCAAGTCACACAGCCAATACGTTGAATGAACCCCTCCTGGGGTAGCAAGACTCAAACAAACTCGCTGCCCTTATTAGTGTCTTCAGCCCTGTCTCTGGGTTTTTTTAACCTAGCCCCTTTCTCAGGCTTTTCGTGAAGAATCCATTCAGAACTGTTGGTCTGCCCTCACCATGTTTTCAGCCCTGTCTCTGGGCCCCTTTAAGTCCTGCCTTTCACTTGGGCTTCCCAACAGAACTTTGTCCTTCTGAGGGCTTAGGCCACTTCACTAGTAGGCCGGTGAGGGGAACCTGAGTCCACCCACTACTCCGGTCCCAGCCCAGGACCCTACACATAGCAGCCATGTACTGATTCCTTTAGTTCACTGCTGCTGTTCCCTAGGCCTTTCCCCATGTAGCCCCTTTCTCTTCACTTGGACCTCAGAACTGAAGTTCTCAACTCCTCTTCCTCCTCGCTGAATGCAAGTACCACCAGAACCCATCTTTGGGGGCTCTTAGTGAGCCCCAGTGACCAGCAAGGAGCCCCCTTCCGCACCCCTCTGGTCCCAGCCAGGGACTGACCTGCTCAGGCCCTGTAGCTCCTTTTATCTGAGTCTGCGGCACTCTGATTGGCTGCTTCTGTGCAGCCTTTCTAGACATGCGTGGAGGACCCACCTTCACTGCTCCTTTCCTGGGGTTGGGTGCAGTAGGACCACAAGCCTCTGGCAGGCAGCCTCGAAGAGCCAGCTGGACCCTGTCACTGTCCCCTATCTCCACTGTCTCTCTCCTCCCTTCCCACCAAGTATGAGGAGGGGTCCCCTGGAATCCCAGACCTGGAGCCCTGTGGGACAGAATAGAACAGACACATCCCTTGGATACTCACCAAAGCAGTCACAGCGCAGGCGAGGTCAGCTGGGTGTCTTGGAAACAGGAGTGCATTGGTCAGGCCACAGCAGGCCGTCTGTGCTCGCTTCCCACAGGAGTTAAAATGGGGCTTGGTGTCTGGGCCACACACTCGTTCTCAGGAAGCCAGACACAATCTCTGTGGTCTGGAAGGGCAGATCTGTTCAAGATTGTGCCCTGAGACCCTTTCTAATAGTTTCCCCTTCTTCTCTCCCAGCCCAGAGGCGTGTGTGCAGACTGGAGATGCCTGCAGAGGTCACAGGGTGAGATGAGGGGCTGCAGAGTTCTCTCAGAACTCTGACTCTCTCCCTCTCTCCCAAGCTCTTCTGCCTTGTTTTCCCTTTACCGGTTCTGTCTCATTGTCCCAACCCCTCTCTCAGGCCCTTTGGCTGGGGAAGGGGCACGAACACCAGGCTGCAGGAGCAAAAGTTTGTCACTTTTTCAGTGGACATTTGATACTGATGCACAGGAACAGGGACTTCACTCATTGGTTAAAGGTGATCTTCAAACTGGACTATGATGAGTGAAAATAGAGAAAGAGGGTCAGGTTTCCGGGGGGACCTACTTTAGTTGTCACCAATTTAATCAGCAATGCAAGCTGAGTTTGGACTGCAAGCTGAAATCCTAGGGCCTGCAAAAGTACCTAGGTGCCTAAACTCCAACTTCCCACTAGGGAAGGGAAGGGAAGAGGAGAACATGGAGGGAGCCACCAGGGCTGGGGAAAGGGGAAAGGCAAGGAAGTTAGAGGGTGGGGTATGAGGGAAGGAAAAGAGGGCAGAAGAGATACTGAGGGAGGAGGAGGAGAAGGGGAAAAGCTACAAAAGTAACAATTCACTTCCCTCCTCCACCCCCCAAATTCCTCATGCGAAGTTTTGCCTTTGTCCTGCATTTCTTTTAGTTCCTTCAATGCCAACTTAGCCTTTTCTTTAGCTTTTACAACACTGCTCCTTCAGTTACTTTATCGTTGCCTTGTTGTCCATATTAAATACTTCCTGGAAAGCCTACATTTCCCAGGGAATCAGAAGGGGAACACCCAAGGGAGGGGAGATGTAATATTAGGGACATAAATAGGCTTCTGTTACTTTCCCCCATCACACACACACTGTCCTCTAGAGAGGAGAGAAAAAAAAACATGGATGCAGAAGGAGACACAACAGATACTGGGGACCTTGGAAGAGGAAACAAAGGTGTGGTATTATAGGAGAGGAGAGAGTGAACAAGGAAGAAAGGGCAAAAATACCAGAGATCCTTGGGAAGGGCAAGGAAAAAAGACCTGGGTCCTTGATGGGAGGAGGGAGAAATTTAAGGTGGGGCACACAGATTAGTAGGAGAAAGGGGATGGAGAAAAAACTGAAAAAGAGGGAGAGCTGATGGAACAAAAATGACAAAGAAATGAGGGGTGGAGTGAGAGAGCCGAGAAAACAGAAGAGGAAAGGGGCAACTAAGGAAGAAAATGAAAAGTACAAACATAAGAGAAAAGGAGGATTGGGGATGTGAAGGGAAAAACAAGTTATTTGAAGAGAAAAGGAAATCAGTAAAGAAGAAAAGCAGAGGGATGAGAAGAAAGATAGCCATAAAGGAGGAAAAAGCAAATGGAACCAGAAAAAGATTGCATATAGGAGACAGAAAAAATAGACATGGATGGAGACAGCAGAGCAGAAATGCACAACTAAGTTTCATGTACCTTCATTTAGTGACATTTCCATATTTTACATGTAGCGCTTGCAGAGAGCAGAAAGAGAAGGGCCAGTGGAGTTCCTATGGGGGTGAGTGGATTGAAAATTGTAGGATTACTGTGTTATGTATTAATTTTTTGGGGGGGAGAGGGTCGTTACAACCATATGAATTCTCCCAGTTTGAACACTGACTAAATCTCAGAATACCCAAGTAAATCAAGATTCAGAACATTATCTGACTGAGGGTAAATGCTTTCAGGAAAAAGTGACAGAGGTATGTTTTCCCCTTTTCAAAGCAATCTCTATGGAGGAGGAGAACTGTGAGGATTCTGACCAGAGAGACCCTGAAGAAGAAAAGCTTGCCAAGAAGGAAGAACTGGTGAAGAGACTCAATGCCGTGGGACTGAGTTCAGAGTACTGGCTGCCCACGCTACAAGATAAACATGGGGTTACTTCTGCGCAAGCATTGGAACACCTGCAATATGAAGACTACCTAAAGCTAGAGTGTCAGGTACAATACCCATGGGAAAAGCAGGCTCTCCGAACCCTACTTAACATAGCAGAGAGCAAGGCAACAATGAAGCAGCTGCAGGAGGAGCGTTTGGAAAGGCTAAAGAAGCAGAAAGAGCAGGTTAAGGCAGCACTGCAGGAACTAAAAGAAATGCAACATGAAGGCAAAATCCACCACAACGAAGCTGTAAGAAGGAAAGAAGAAGAGCTATGGGTGGCTATGGAAATACCCCAGGAGTATTGGGCACCATCTGAGAAACCTCTGATGGAGGTGCTGGATAATGCGCATAAGCAATTAGGCCTCCTGGAGCAGTCGGTGTCCCAGAGTGAGAATCTCCCTGATGAGGAAGTTTTGAGACGGGTGTCAGGAGGGCTGGCCCTGCAGGGCATTTATAAAACTAACAAACTCTCAGATATGCTAGAGACACGAGAGCAGCTGGTCAATATCCCAGAAGGGTTCGAGCTCTTTGGTCCAGAGCAAGGGCCGCTGTTTGCGAACAAGGAATTTTCATCTGCAGAAGCAGAATCCACATTCACAAAGGCCATGGAGAAGCTGGGCTTCAGCATTAGTGTTGCAGCCAAAGGTGGATTTGGGGGGTTTAGTGCTGAAACCAGCTCAGATCACAGCAGCTCTTCAGAATCTGAAGAAACCCACAAATCCCGCTCTGAGCACACTTACATTTGCACCACCAAGTACAGCTACATCCCACTGACCTCATGCTACTTCCCCAAGGATCAGCTTCGACTTTCCAGTGCAGCGCTGCAAGAGTTAAAAGAGATCGAGCAGGTTTTCAGTCACACCCCAGAGCCGGACAAGATCAACATGCTGAAGAGCAGGGGCGGGAGTTTCTTCAAGAGATTCGGGTCTCATGTAAACCAGGGCCCCCTTCACTTGGGTGGGATATTCTGGTGGAAAGCGTCTTCTGCGGGATTCCGGGCAGAGCAGCTGGACGAGGTGAAGAAACAAACATCTGATGCACTCAGCTCCTATGTTGAGGGCAGCTATAGTGGCTTTAGTCT